GTGCCTCAGCTGCTATTGCAAAGCACCTAGAAGAGACAGCAGCTCAGCCCTTATCTTTGCTTTTGGTGCACTTTCCTAATTGGGTGACAGAAATTCTGCAAATGCTGCACTTGGGATAATTATTTTTAAATGGATTTGTTTCCCTTTCTTGTTGTTTGATACTCAGATCAAATATCCCAGTGTTTGGAACTTAATAGGGCTCTTTATACCTTTTTTTTTTTTTTTAGTATATGCTTCCCCCCTGTCTTGTTTCGAATAGTTATTGGGGCTGAAATACTGGTTTACAGCTCTCTTTGGTTTCTGAACAGTCATCTGCTTATGTGCAAGTTCTCCTCTTTGATGGATGATCACAGTTCACAGATGAGGATTCCAGAGCAAGTGAATTGTCCTCAGTTTTGCACATCTCTGTTTTCAACAGATGTTCAAAATTCAGCAGTTTCCTAGAGTTCACATATTTATAGAATATCAATTCTAGTGAATTGGGGTCACCAGAAATTGATGGTACGGAGAAAAATGTTTCATTCTAGCTTTTGGAGTGTAGTTTCCTGTGTACTGGAGACAGCTGGGCAAGATACTCAGCAAATGGGCAAGTTCCAGGGAGGTAGGTGCAGACTTCTTTTGGACTCTGACTACCAGAAAGATCTCAGGGAGATCCTGAGCTTTTATGGCCACACAAATAGTTGCAGTAGCTTGAAAGGCTGTATATAACTTTAACTTGAAGCTGTTTTTAAAAAAGAACAAGAACTTAAAGAAACAAGACTGTTTCTTCTCTTCACTTTGCTTCTGGGCTGCCTGTCTTCTGGAGGTATCAGGATAGCTATGCTCATGGCTAGATTTCTAGCATGGAAAGGAAGGAATGAAATACGGAAATCCTGAATAAATATCTGATTTTAAAAGTAATTTTTTAAAGTCTTCTTTTTGAAGAACTTGGAAACTGATTGAGATGAATCAAAGGATTCTCTATAGTGTCTGAACAAAATGCCTTTCATTGTTGGACTCATCAGTTGCATACATTTACCAGGCACATCAACCTGGTTTAAACATCTTGTTCTATCACCAAGGAGTACGGAGCCTACTGCCAACACAGCTTTCCTGTACTAGGGATGAAATAGACTACTGGATTTGCTCTGGCTCTGTTCCTTGTGGGCAGCTCCTGGATTAGTGCCAATATTATTCAGTCTGTCTAGATGCTTAACAGGAAGTATGAAAAATTAGGACTATTATGAGATTCCTCACCACTCGAGGCTTACTTGTGTTTGTAGGTGCTGCATTGGCCCCAGTGGTTTGTGGTTAAAGTGCTGAAATTGAGAGCTCTTGCTCTAGAGTGGTCTTTCCAGAAGACTTGCACTGTCACATTTGTGATTCTGCCTCACAGAGCTTCCCCGGTGCAGAATTGTTTCTGTTGCTGCCACCCAGCACTGGGCTGTTCAGTACAAACACAAGCAAAGCTCCAACCATCTGCACAGGTAACCTGGCTTGCCTGAAGAAACCCTGGGAGCAAAACAGCTACTTGCTACTGCTGGAGGGCCATGGCAGGGTGGGGAGATGGTGTGGCCCTTCTATGTTTGGGCTCACTTAGTCTTCACAGACACTTCCTGACTAACCTCCACAGCCCGTAACAAGGAGCCTCTGAAGTACTGAGGATCAGCCTACCTGGGATTTGAAAGGTGTTTAGGTGAAAAAGGGACCACAGATTAAAGAAGGCAGCTGTTTCCTGCTGTGTTTGGCTGATGCTGGTGAAAAAGGTCCAAAATAGCTGTGCCATCTATTTCTGTCCCTCATGGAGAAGGTATCTTTTGTCCCTCTAAGTTGTTACAAACCATTGGTGATGTGCTGGTGTAGCTGCTGCTGTTCTGTTGCCTGTTCATGGGTTATCTGGGTCCTTTATGGGTTATTAAGGATTAGCTGTGGGTTTTGCTCCCAAGAAAGGGGGAAGCTGTTCAGGTATGAGGTTCAAGGGAATGGATTATTTGGGATAACCAAGAGTGGACAATTTGTGGACACTAACTTGTGATCCCAAGACTGGAAGAGTTGTGGTGGCAGAATTCCCTTCCCAGCATGGGCTCAACATGGCTATGTATGCTGCAGGCACATAGAGCTAGTCTGGCATGGTGATAGCTGTCCAGAGACACTTTAATCTGCTGAATAAGGGGGAAATATGAATCGTGTTCTGCATCTTTTTCACCTTAAGTGTGCCCATGCCAGAACACATTGGTGTTTTGTTTGTGTCCCCAGTGTAGAGCACAGTAAATTTTCCCCTGGTGCCAGATGGTTAAGTGCTTCACTGTAGCAACTACCACATTGCCTCTGTAAATTGCCAAAGAGCTGCTCCTGTTTCCAAGGGCTGTAGATCCCACCTGAGAGCTGCTTTGGCTGACCTGTTCTTGGGCCAGGAGAAATGAATTGATTAACAAACCAGCAAAGCAAGGTTTACTTTGCTGCAGTAAGTTGCAAATTTCTGTGCTCATTTTATGCCTACAGAGAAAAGCTAATCCTTTTCTTTTCTGCTTCCTTTTTTTTGTTGCCTTTTCTTTCATTTTGTTGCCTGGGATGGAAATGTAAGCAGAGGGAGGAAAACTGGTGTGATTCTGTTGAAGTGCTTGGGTACCACTGCAGTGAGGTGTGAAGGCATGGAGAAACACTGGGAGTGAAGCACCTGGGTGGTGCTCAGGGTCCGAGCTGCTGGTGCTGCCTAGAGCTTGCTGGGGTAGCTCACCTCTTGGGGGTAACTCCTTGCTCCTGCCTGAGCAACTGGCAGAAGATTCTGTCAGTTGGGCAGTCTGGCCTCTTGTGCATCTCACAGGTAGTCCAAGGATTCTTGTCTGGGAGAGCAGCTGACTCCTTCTCACACCTCTGTTGTATGTCTTACAACTCTGGGCCACACATCTTGTAGGATGAAGAAGTTTTTGCAGAAGCCTTGATAAGGGCTGTGTGGATGTCCATTTGTCCTGCTGGCTTTGCAGAATGGCAGATGGAGGGGATCTGTGTGCTTGGAAAGGGTGGGGGAGTGCCAGAGCACTCACATCCATCCATGTCTCACTCCACAGTGGATCTGATGACCCATCTGTGCCATCCAAAGCCCACTGCTTTTGCTCACAGTGCTCAAACCTTGAGTGCTTCAATCTGTCAGCCCACAGACAGGTGCAGAATTGCTGCTGGGTTGGTTTACAAGTAACCTTCCAAGGGTTAATGTGTTGTGAGAAGGTTGCAAAGGGCTGAAGCCTGGAATCCCCTCGATTCCATGCCTGGAGAAACACAAAGTCCAATAAGCCAGCACCCCTGGATTCGTGTTGGGGGGGATTAATTCATGCACTTGATGTTAAAGCTTGTCCGAGAGGTTTGCATGGGGGGGCCATTGCTAGGGCTGGTTGGCCTCTCTAAATGGTTGCTAGGGCCCTGGCATCAAGGTCCAATGTAGCTGCCCACAGCCACGGTCACGGAGGGAATTACACAGCCACAAAGAAATTGTTATTCTACATAATCTGCTCTTTGGAGAGTGACTGTGGGGAAACAGGCTGGCCCCAGCATGCCGCCAGCTCTGTGATCATAGAAGCGTGCTGGCTGCAAAGATCGGCCAGGGCTCGCCTTCTGATCTGGGGACACCAGGGCTCGAGGCGCTAATCTGCTTTATCAGCGATTTCTCTCTCCTGACACAAAGGTGTTTACTTGTTTTAACATCTCCCAGGACTCTATTTCTCCTTTTGTGTGGTCTTTATCCCCCGACGAGGGCTTTAGCCCAGATTACAGACAGAATTAAGGCATTTGGCGATGTGCCTCAGAACTGTGTGATGCTGGATCAAGGAGCAGAATGTAACAAAATAATGGAGGGAGATGCTGAGAGTGACCCCACTGTGGGATCCTTGCTGTTGGCTTTCAGGACTGCTTCATTGTCCTGAGAACCAGGAGGCTGTTGGTGAGGGGTGGCCATGCAGCAGAGTTTGAAAAGCAGGTGCTTCAAGTTTTATTGTGTCCAGCATTTTTGATGTAGAGGGTCTGAGGAGAAGAAGGAAAAAAAGGAGGGTTTGCAATAGGTGGTCATTTCAAGAAGCTGGGCAGATTGTCCACTCCATTCCCAAGAGTCTGTCATGTCTGAATACCACTGGCTGCTGCAGCAGGTCGAATAACACCTGGACAGGCTGTGTCATGCACCTGATGCAATTCCATGGGACCCAGAAAGCGGCTCAAGCTTCTTCTTGAATTCTGGCAGGCTGGGACCTCACCAGGCACCAGGTGAGCTGCTGGTTCTTCATATAAACAAGCAGCAGAGTGATACCACCACAAAGCACTCAGGATAGAGCTTTATGGAGATCTTGCTTTTGCTCTTTCACTGCAGGCAAGGAATTAAAAAGGAGGAAAGGGTCAAAAAAAGGAGAAAAATCTAGCCTTGGGAAGGTCATCTCCAGATGACTGATCACTGGGGTGGTTGCTTTTGGTGTTCAGCCCCAGATATGGTGTTTGTAGAATATGGTATAACTGGAGGGGGTTGAAGAGAGCAGCAATGGCAGACTGGGTTGGGAAAGTCTGATTTGCTGGATCTGTGCTGTGTGTCAAAGATCTAGGGAAATACCCCAGTGGACAGTATTTTGAAGGACAGAGTATGGGATGGGATTGAACACGTAAGTAGCTCTTGCAGACTATTTGGAGTCTGACTAAGCTGGGAGTTGTCTCCTGTGGAAGTGGAGCCATATAATTTAGAATACTGGTCACTTCTCCCAGGGAATGGGATCCCATTCTGCTGGGGGTCAGCTGTGCCTGTACCTTGGCTCTTCCTCTTCCAGCTGGGACTCCTGCTGGTCACCCTTCATGACCCTTCATGGTTAGTGGCCCAAACAATAGCAGAAGCTGGGGGTGGGAGAGGAAAACTGTGTGGGCTTTTGTATTCTGTTATATCACAGAAATGAGATCTGGAAGATTTCTGTGACACCATCTCTGCTCTGGCCAGCTGAACTGGAAGGGCTTTTTGCTCTGAATGACTCTTCCCCTCATGTGTTTCATTGCAGTGGCGAGCTGTTGACCTGTTTAGGGACCGACTTCCACCGTGGAGCTGGCGTCCTGGATGTGTTCTACGAAACCCCCTCCCTTCTCCTTTCTTGTGGGTATGACACCTACATCCGCTACTGGGACATACGGACCAGCACCAGGTGAGCCTGCCCTGCTGGCATCTGGGGCCCATGCAAGGCTCCTGGACTGTCCTTGTGCAGCGTCTGGGAACAGCTCTCACTGACTTAGCTCCTTCAGGCAAAGTGGAGGGAGGAGTGGAGGCTCAGCCCTGCTCTGGTTTGTGTTGCCTTTGCAGGAAGTGCGTCCAGGAGTGGGAAGAGCCCCATGACAGTGCCCTGTACTGCATAAGGAGCGATAAGAACCATATGATTGCCAGCGGCTCTTCCTACTACGGTGTGGTACGCCTCTGGGATAAGCGACAGACTCGGTGCCTGCAGGTGAGCACCAGTGGGAGACTGAGCAGCAGCAGAGCTTCTCAGCTGTTCTCTGGCAGCCCAGTGTGCATGCCTTGTGGGAAGAAGAAAGAGGGGCTGCTGGGCTGTCTTTGGGGCTAGTCCACCGTGGCAAACCTACCCTATATGCAGGTAAAACCTGCTTTCTCAGACATTGCAGCCTTTGGATCTATAACACCACCCAGCATCTTTGGGCTGACCTTGTTTCTGAAAGGTTGATTTTCCTGTTGTTTGCAGAGCTTTCACCTGTCTTCACCCACCAGCAGCCCAGTGTACTGCCTCCGTTTCAGTACCACCCACCTGTACGCTGCCCTGGCGTCAGCCCTGCACGTCCTGGACTTCACGGCCTTGTGAAGGGCACCACAGCTGCTTCTGGTGACCCCAACTCAGCAGAGCTGACACTTGGCTCAGGGAATTGCAGGGCAGGAGAGGTGAGAAAAGGCCCACAAGGCTTCTGAAGGGACTTCTTTGCCTGCCAGAAAGCTACAATAAAGAGTGCACAAAGGGCCAAACTTTCTCAACCTTACCTGCCTGTTAGTGAAAATAATAGGCCAATTGTCCTTTACCCTTTTTATTTTGTGCAAGTCAGGAATTGTTTTATTAACTGTGTTACTTTTTTTCTTTTTCTTTCTCCTTCCTTTTTTTTTCCTGTGGATACATCATTTGAGGGGCAGGTTGAGCCAGGATGCCCCATCCGCTGTGTGCTGGTCAGTTTGAGATCAGCCAAGCTCTAAGCATGTGAAACAAGACTAGGCTGTGTGTGGGGTGAACTGATTTGGTAGAAGGGAAAGGTGCCTGGAGCGAGGCCCACCTTTCTCCTTAACTTGCTGTTCTGACAGCTGCTTGTGTTGTCCTTCACAGCCAAGAGCAACAATTGAGCTAAAAGCAGAGCCAGCCCTGCTTTCAGTGTGCCTCCCCAAGTTGGCCGTCAGGTCAGGCTATACACTTGGCAGGGCTGAAATGGTCGTGTTTTGCTAAATAAAACTGAAATGAAACAAAAGAGATTGTATGTTTTGTTTCAAGTTCTGAAGGAGCTGTGATGTTACCTGCTGATTGCAGAGGCCTGCGTGGGTGGGGGAGGTTGGACGTATTTTCAGATGCTGTCTCCATGTCTTATAGATCTCTCTCCCTGGCTAGACCCTGTGACACTGCTGCATTGAAGGTTCCTGGGAGCTTGGATCTCCTGTCACTTTTTCAAACAAGAATTCAAAAAGTAGGATATGTTACTCATTTGGTGCCTGCTTAATGAAGCAGCAAAACCAGACTAGTATGAACACCTGGATGTGATTTACTGGGATCCTGTAGACACATTCAAGTGGGCTCTTCTCCTTTTTGTGTCATCCTTCTGAACCTGATGTGGGTCTCTGAACAACCATACCTTTCAGCATGCTCTGTGCTGTGTGATTGGATGTGCTGTGAGTAGTGTCTGGGGTCTGGCCCTCCTTGGGGAAGGAAGTGTGGGAGCCCTTCTTGGTTGAGTTTGGGTGTCCTGGATAGGTAGAGGAGAGGTTTTTATCACAAACTGAGAGCACTCCTCGGGTGAGCCACTTAGCATGGTGCTTTGTTAGAACTTAGTATATTAATTTCCACTGTCAAGAGGCTGCTCTTCCCTTGTGATGCATAAGAATTAGAGGAATATGTTTGCTGGAGCCCCAGAGTCTAAGGAATTGTCATGGTTCGAAAGCAGCCTCATCAAGGGAGCTATGTTAGGAGCCCACGAGCAGCTCACTTGAAGGTAGGGTTTGCTTGGGTAGTAAGTGTTCAAGTATGAACTGCGACAGAACAACATTCAGAAATCTAAGCAAGGGGATGACTGTTGGAGGAGTTGGTAAAGCAGCACTGTTGGGGCTGTCCCTGTGCAGTGAGGTTTGCAATGGTCCATGTTTGTGCCTTCACAGAAGGGTGGGCAGCTGCTGCTCCTTAGCTGGCCAGTGGCCCAGCCACTGCTTCCCCTCTGTGCCATGCAAATAGAGGCAGCTGCACGTTGGTTCCTGCCCTCTGCACAGCCCTGTCACATTGTGGATGGCTGGCACTAAGGAAGCAGCTGCATGTCTTCCTCTTTACCCTGTTTCATAGGCTGTGCCCACTCAGGTTTAAACACTGATGCTGTTTGCTGAGATAGCAAAGTCACCAGAGCATCCTGACTGCATGGAGGAGCTGCATGACTGCACAGGAAGGAGCTGCTTCCAGGTACATTCCAGGCAAGTCATGGGTGTGAGGGGGGAGTTCTTGTTTTCCAAACATTACTGCCTTCAGCAATGGTGGCAGATGGGGAATTCCCAAGGTGTCACATTGGATGGGGACGGGGCTGCTGGTTGTAGATGTGGTGTGCTTCCTTTGCATACTGCAGCTTCCCACAATTCATAGAAGGATCATTCCATCCCTGGAAATGTTCAAGGCCAGGTTGGATGGGGCTTTGAGCAGTCTGGTCTAGTGGAAGTTGTCCCTGCCCATGACAGAACTGGATGATCTTTAAGGTCCTTTCCAACACAAACCATTATATTGTTCTATGAAATGTCTGCACAAATCAGCAGGCCAGGTCAACTGCCCTGTCATTTTTCTAGGCTTACAGAGACTCCTCCAAATTGCTCTATTAACAACAACAACAACATTTTTATTAGATAAGGCAAAATAAAACACCATGAAGCTGTACCAGAGAGCTGCCCCTCACCTCAACCTCTTAGCAGCCACTTCCTACTGGGTCTTACAGTCTCCATCCCCACTGTTAGCTGCCTTTATCTTCTTCAGCTCCTTCTGCAGCTGCTCTTCTGCAGCCAAGATCTCCTTCGGCTTCTGGTACTGTAGGACAGAGAGAAATGTCCTTAGCACTCCTGAACTCCTGTTCAGCCTCTGCCCCAAGTAGACCAACTGCAGCCTGTTGCTGCCAACCCAGCAAGGGCCCTCCTGCCAAGGGAGGCCTTGCCATTACCAGCAGCCTTTGAAGCCTGTTTAGAGAGGTGGTGCTATCAAGCTAAAGACATTTGCCAAGTTCTGGAGTGTCTTTTACTGTGCAAGTAAAACTTTCCAGTTAGGTGTGGAATCTTGGCCCCCACCAACCCCTCTGGAATATCCTGGCAAGCAGATCCTTGCTGTGCTCACTGACCGTATGCTCACAAGTGGTTTATATATATATATGTGGGGGTTTTTTTAATGCAGAGAGAAGTGAGAGTTGCAGTTCCTCTATCTTCCTTTCAGAGGCCTCTCACCCAGCTGCAGTGTAGTGGTGGAGGCAGGTGCTTTTTGCAAGGTTTGGCCAGTAGCAAAGAGAAGCTCAGGAGGACTCAAGGTGCTCCTCTTGGCCCATTTCCTCTGCACGTGCAGCCCAGGTTTGCTGCCAGGTTTCTCACGGAGGGTGTGCCCTCTGTGTAGCTGACTTCTGCACTGAATAAGGCAAACACCTGTTGCTCAAAAGCATCTGTCTGCTCCTTGCAACAAGAAGTGTGTGTCCATGTTGCCAGTCTCTTGCTTCCACATGTGTGGAAGTGTTCCCTCTCTGACACAAAGCAGCAGGTGATTATTTTTGTATTATTCTGTTTTAAGACTCTGAGACCTCAAAGTGCAGCAGATCCTTGGGCTTTTATGCTCTGAGACAAAAGAAACAAGTGTCACTGAGAGTGGAGGCTTGCTCAGGCCTGAGGGAGGGAATACATGGAAAACAGGGCACGATAGACACTCTTCCACCTGCATGTCACCTTGAGCAGCAAGCAGGGCCTCTTCTGCCACCTGGGATCTCTTGGCTAGTGTCAGCATGCCCAGTGTAATCTGAAACTCCCACCGACTGTGTGACAGAGCATGGGTGACCCTCAGCTCTGCCTCATTTCCCCATGTCTAAAAACTTTAGCTTCTTTGTGGACATAAAGAGAAGGGCAGAGTGCTGATCTGCATGGTTAAAACCTCACCGTGATGATCAGGGTGTTGTTGGCATGGGTGAAGCTCAGGGCAGCTGCATCCAAGGGGAGGTGGTATCGGTCCAGATCAGGAATAGAGAACTTTTTATAGTACCTACAAATGAGAGAGGAGACAGAAATAAGAAGGTGGGGTTTCTATTCTGCCACTAGGGGTGCTGAGACACAGCCTGGTGGTCTACAAAGTGTACATGAGGACAACAGACCTCTCAGGGTTGGCAGGAGGCCCTCGTGCCATGTTGTGTGCCTGCCGGTGCCCCCAGGTTAGCAGGAGCACTAGAAACAAACCTCCAAACTGGAAACCAGAGCTGGCAAAGTCCTGAAGAGCTTTGGTGTGTGACAGCAGGCTTGGTCCCTCCAGCTTGCCTGTATGTTTAGTGCCAGCTATGGTTAGACTACTCAGCCCTACCAAGGTGTTCCTTGTCTTTTTCCCTGCTCATGGCCTCTCATTCCCTCTAAGTAACAGCTTTCTTTAGCTTTTGTCAAAACAGCTGTCAAAACTCTTGTGCCATGACTTTCCCCTGTGAGGCACCATTCTGTGTTGCAATCCTTCCTAAACTCCTCTTTTGAACTTCTTCCTGTATTTCCTCGGTAGCTTCTTGCTTTGGTGGCATGCATACCCCAGGCACAGATCTCCAGGTGTAACTGCCCACAATCACCTGAGCCTCTGCTCTGCAGCATCTCCATGCAGCACCTCCCAGATGGTGACTGTGGTGCTCCTCTGCACTTACAGCTCTCCTAGTTCCTTCCCTGGTTTCTATCCCAGTCTTCCAATAATCTCTCACATCCAAGCAGAGGACAGAAAGGTTTTTGCCAGCTAAGAGATTTCCTAAGACTTTGGAGCCAGAACCCTGCAGACCTGTGTCTGTGTTTGCCTGTGCATTGCTTGCCCTGCATCTACTGCTTCTCTCTGGGGCTGCACCAAATACACTGGCTTGTGGTCTTGTGCCCACCCAGAGGCATGGCTGGATTCTTAGTCTCTTCCAACACTCTTGTGGGCAGTCCTCTCCAAGGAATTGGCCTTAGCTGGTACTGAGGTGCCTGGAGCAGAGTGGGAATAGGCAGTGGCTGCTGCCATGAGGGGTGGTTCTCAATTCAGCTGGCTGTGTGTGAGGCTTGGCCTCTCTAGCTACCTCTGCCCAAACTGCAGTTTATTTTCCAAGTCACGGTGAAAACAGCTACAAAGGGCAAATGGCTTTCCCGGTGCAGTGGGAGGAATGTACACGGCTTGTTACCGCAGGGCTCAAACCGTTCTGTGTTGTCACTGCTGTCGGTATTTGGAAAAGGTGGCAGACATGGATAATAAGGGAGATGTCAAAGGTTAAACAGCAGAGATTAGATGAACACAAAGACATGTTAAGGAAGTGTTAACTTCTTACCGATTAGACAAAAAAAAAGCAGTACACAGAAAAAAAACCCACTGTTTCAAAGGGCCTTGGGAGTCATCAATGAAACAGCAGCATTCTGCTGCCCCAGGACTAAGGAGAAGGGGAGAAGAATGGCTTTGGCTGGCCTCAAACTAAAATCTGTGACAAGATCAAAGGAAACCAGATCTGCCTTGCCAACCCCTCCTCCTCCTAACATTACCACTGCCTCTCACTACAATAATTGAATCAGGTTTGGCGTTTGGGGAGGGGGCTTTCTAGGTTTGTTTTTAGAGTTCAGTTTAATGGATTTATTTTACAGCAAGAGGTTTTAAGCAAATCCCACTTGAGCAGCCCTTGCCGTGGCCAGAGGGAACAGAGTGACTGGTGGAAGTGAAGAGCTCCTGTCTGGGCTGGGGAGGTAGCTGATGGGTGGTTATCCCAGCCGGTGCAGGCTGATTCTCTGCCCTCTCCTCTCACCCCATGGCCAAGGGGCAGTATTACACTCTGAGCCGCAGTCCTGGCCCGAGATCCACAGTATGTATGTCAAATCACCTCTATTATTTTCCTACTGGAAACCCACTTTTTGTTAGCCCGTAGGGAAAACTGCTACTGGTATGCTGAGAATTTAGAGCTGAGCTATTGAGTAGTGACTTGGCAGCCCATCCTGTTACTTGTGCCTCTGGCTGGCGGTCAGCACAGCTCTGTTGCTCAGAAGCAGCATGG